GCGGGAGCGGGAGCGGGAGCGGGAGCAGGAGCAGGAGCAGGAGCAGGAGCAGGAGCAGCAGGAGTAGTAGTAGTAGTAGTAGTAGTAGTAGCAGCTACTACTACTACTACTACTACTACTACTACGACTACGACTACGACTACGACTACCGCCAGCAGCAGCAGCAGCAGCAGCAGCAGCAGCAGCAGCAGCGGTAGCGAAAGGGTAGCGGCCGCACCAGCAGCAGTCGTCATCGTCGTCAGTCCTGCCCAGCTGCCTGTGATTGAGATTGGGGCTGGCCCTCTTCGTTTGGGGCTTATGGTTTCAGGCTTAACGTCTAGGGATTAAGGTCTGTTTAGGCTTAAGGCATTTACGGCTTCGGAGTGGGGTTATACAACGGCCTAGGGTCTCTCGAGGGCAAGGTCCGCCGAGACACTTCAAAAGACGCATCATGCGCAAGCACTCGAGAAAGTGGAAGACGCTGTTGATGTGACCTTGATCTGCCGGGACACGACGCGTGTCTGAGACTGCGGATTCTCTGACACCCTGAACCCCTGAACGCTAGACACATCAGCAACCCGTCAACCCTCAATTGCCTCGACCGGTGTCATATCGGGGCCCTAGCAACGCGAAAAGGGCGCTGGGGTATGACACACTATAAGTAGATACTACTGTTGATGATATAAATCCTGCATTACCTTAAGGACCCTAAACTATGGGAATTATGGTATATACCTTATTATGGGTAATGCAGGATTTATGCCCCTAAACCCTAAACCCTAAACCCTTATTATGGTATGTCATCAACCGTAGCAAGCACGAAAGCGGATACAGGGATACCGCTACTGCTTGCTCAAGCCCCTACGTCCCCCATCGGGCTCTGAGGTGAGAAGCCAGATCTGTCAAGGGACTAAAGGAGGGACCCCTAAAGGGACCCTTGAGGATATATGGGGGCTTTATGAGACTACGGGGTATATAAGGGTTATATAGGGTCAGGTTATATAGGGGCTTTATGAGACTAAGGGGTATATAAGGGTTATATAGGGTATTTGGATTAGGGGTCCCTTTTAGGGGTCCCTCCTATTGGCCCTTAGATCTGACTGGGGCGTAGACCCGACCTTAATACAAGAGCCTCTAAATATTTAGACTAGGGTTTTGGGTGTATGCTATACTAGACTTATACTAGGACTGCTACGGAACTTTATTAGGGTTTGGGGGAGTTTGGGGGTATGTTCTACTAGACTTATACTTATACTAGGACTGCTAAGGAACTTTGTTAGGGTTTGGGGCTTCGGATTTGCGACGCGCCCTTTTGAACAAGATCCAACTGGGGAAGGCACCCTTATGCCAAAAGTTCAAGAGCTTCTCGATGAGCGTTGGGATGGCAATCAAAGCCACGATCAGGTCCACAATGCCCAAGCAGGAGACGATGTACCTCATTCTCGGGCTTACCCTAAATCCTAAAGCCTAAACCCTAAACCCTGATCCCTAAACCCTAATCCCTAATCCCTGAACCCTGGCTGTTGGAGGATTCAAGCTCCAGCCCCTTCACCTGAAAGCATAATGTGGGAGCCTTGTAGTTAGCATAGCTGGGCTTAGGCCGGCACTTCCGCCGTCGAGGACCGTAGCCCAGCACTCGCACCAGGTACTCGAGAATAAAGAAAATCGAAGAGACCTGGGCTTTGAGCTTGGGAACACCGCTTAGGGTGTAAGTTTGGGGTTTAAGGAGTAGGACCCTACATAGGAGGATCCTGGTCATCAGGACCCGTGAAAAAGAGGCCCTAATCTAGGGTTTCGGGTTTAGGGTTAGGACAAGATCCTGATAATAAGATCCTCGTCATAAGATCCTTCTAATGCAGTCCTTCTCATAGGATGCTTATAGTAAGATCCCCGTAATAGGATCCTGGCAATCAGATCCTTGTAGCAAGATCCTTGTGATAGGATCCTTGCGATAAGATGCTTGTAGCAAGATCCCTGTGATGAGACATTTGTGATAAGAGCCTTTTGGTAAGATCCTTATCATATCATAAGATTCTTGCAAACAGACCCTTATAGTAAGATCCTCTAATACGATCCTTCTCATAAGATGCTTATGTAAGATCCCTGTCACAAGATCCTTGCAATAAGATCCATATACCTTGTGATCGGACCCTAAACCCTAAACCCTAAACCGGATCCTTGTAACAGGATCCTTATGGTAAGATCCTTCTCATAAGATGTTGCGGCCTTTCAGCCGGGTCGCTACCTCGAGGACGGCCGACCAATGGGCTGCCCAGCGGACAGCCTTCACCTTCCACTTTAGGGTTGAAGGTTTAGGGTTTAGGGTTTAGGGTTTAGGGTTTAGGGTTTAGGGTGGAGGGTTCAGCGTTGAGGGTTTGGGGTGTTGGGGCTGGAGCTTCAGGGCTTAGCGCTCAGGGTATAGAGCTTGGGGTTTAGGGTCGAAGGTTGAGGTTGAGGGTTCAGGTTTGAGGGTTGAGGGCTTAGGGTCCGAGGCATCGTGACCTTGAAGAGCAACAGAAAACAAGGGTATATCTTTTTGGGCGGAGGGGAAAATAGGCATCCTCTGAACTCGGGCTTTGTATTCGCGTCCCCTTGTTCCTCATTTGAGGCTTTACGGTTCTGCTTCCAGGGCCTGCGGGATTTGCTTGTAGGGTCTTGAGAGTAGGTTAGGGGCTGTTGACTGTTGGAGAAAGCCTATGAGTTGGGGCTTCACGGCTTTAGGGTTGTGATTTCATGGTGTTAGCTGAAAAAGCTGGAACTTATTGATTTGGCGAGCTTGCGAGTTTAGGGCTGAGGGTTTAGGATTTTAAGGTTTGGTGAGTTTGGGCGCTATGGCCCGTGAGGCTTCGGATCTGGTGCTCTCTTCACGAGACGTATTATCCAACGGCGAGCCTTGTTCACGCCTGGCCCTATTTCTGTGAGTGGCCGGCCTGTTTCTGCCAGCGGAGAATCACACTTCTAAGATGTTTCACGAAATGTCCATCCGCCATTCGCTGTTCCCCGTCCCCTGCCCATGACTCTGCATTTGCCTCTGCCTCTTCCTTGGTCCATGTCTCTGTCTTTGTCTGAATGCCTTTGCTTCTCTAGCTCGCGCCTTCCCTTGATCTGTAGGGGCCTTAATAACTAGAATAGGGTTCGGGGATATATTATACTGCAATTCTAACCCCAAAATGTTATAGGCAGTTGTTAAAATAAAGGCCGCCCCTATATTATCTGTTTCTCCATCTCCTTCTCTGTCGCTTCCTTTCTTTGTGTCTTTCTCACGTTCTCACGTTATCTCTTTCTCTTTCTCTTTCTCTTTCTCTGTCTCTTTCTCTTTCTCTTTCTCTTTCTCTTTCTCTTTCTCGTTCTCTTTCTCGTTCTCTTTCTCTTTCTCTTTCTCTTTCTCTTTCTCTTTCTCTTTCTCTTTCTCTTTCTCTTTCTCTTTCTCTTTCTCTTTCTCTTTCTCTTTCTCTGTCTCTCTCTCTTTCTCTCTCTCTCGCTCTCTCTCTCTCTCTCTGTGTCTGTCTCT